CTTTTAGTGATTCAAAATTCATAACTCTGACAGGAATTTTACAACTTTTCTTTCATTGGCCCTGAATTTGTTAAAATGGCCTTATTTTAAGTCATCTGAACCCGGCGGAATATAAACAATTTTTATCAAGTATGAACTTAAACAAAAATTGTCCAAATTGAAATGATACTATTTTCGGAGTCACAATCATAGAAAAATCCTTTTGTCACAAGCAATCTCTGTATCAAGTATTAACAAACAAATATTCTCGATTACATATAAATGACTGCGACAAAACATTTATTCTTTCTCCAGTGATCTTGAATTTGCCGTAATATTGCCTTGATTCATGACACATCCTAGGATCATTATAGCCTGGCCTTCTGGGAAAAACTTTGAGGGACAGGCAGACATCTTGACAGTTAAACAGACAATTTAATTCCCAACCCATCAACCCTACCCCTTAAAATACTCAATCACTTTATGGGGGAAACTCTGGTCATGATTTGAAAAGAAAGTAATCTTTTTTATATCAGGAAGCTTTCATAAGTATAGTTTCTCATTCTTGCCCAGAGGTTCATAAGAATAATATTTTAAAACGACCCCTTCTTATTTTACTAACCGTTTTCTTCATTATCTTCATTTTATATCAGCCAAGGTCGCCCTCATAGCGCACTGATTAGAGCGTCTGCTCTATAGTCGCAAAGTAAGGAGTTCATCCTTACATCGTGGGTTCGAATCCCACTGTGGGACGTGGAGGCCTGTTCTTCGGATGAAACCGTATAAAACAAGGCCCCGTGTCGCTTAAGGTGCTGGCACGAAAAAGATCCCTCTCCCCCCCGGTCAAAGCCCTTAAGTGCCGATTATAGGATATTTGAAGCTCTCCACTGGCAAGTGCATGATGGCATCTCTATATGAGTGAAATATTCTTGAGAGGGACGTTAAAACATATCAATCATATCCCCCCCCCCAAAAAAAAAATGATTAAGAATTTTGCCTATGAAATATTTCGGGAGGGGTGTTGAAAGTTTAGGCTACGTACAACTATCAGTCCATTGAATAAGAGTATTTATTTCAAACTTTGGGGAAAGGGGGTGGGGTGCATGGGGGAGTTATGGTGTATACGTAATACATGTGAGATTATTATTATTCCGTTAGACAGAAAGGTCCAAGGAGTTGTGATTTGCTGATCATGATCTAAAACACATTGACAAACCCAAACCACATGGTTTTATACACGTCCTTCAATTACTGTAGATCACTTTATTTTCGCGACACCTTATTTTCGCGAGATAGTCATTGACTCTTTATTAGCGAGACAAAATTTTCACGAATTGTGGTCACTGCCTTACATAATCTTAAGGAGTTCTATTATACGCGAGAATAAAAATTTCGCGAGCATACCGTCTCGCGTAATTACGCGAAAATAAAATTCTCGCGAATAAAAAGTGATTTACAGTAATTTATTCATAATTATTTTCCTTGACGGAGAAATGCATGGATAAAAGATAAAAGAAAATTCCTGATGTACAATAGCATCCATGCATGGACTTTTAGTACTTACATATTGTGCTTGAAGTTGAATAAAATCAACAAATAAATTTAATTTAAATAAGAAAGGGGGTTATGTTTAATAAAATAAATTAGACAATAATTGATACAGGGAGACTCTCTGTTAAATACATGAATGTACTTGAACAAAATGCCTCTCTCTTGCCTTCTTTCGTACATTTATTTTTTTAAACCAGGAAAAGTAATGTGTGTTAGATCGATATAAGTTCATAATTTTAAAGAAAATACTGAGTTATATACGATAAACGATACAAATGGTTTGACTGTGGTGCCGGATATTATTTTAATAGTTTAAATTAGGTTGTAAAGGTGTACATGATAAGTTTTTGATATTCAGTAGCTGCAGATTGTTATATAAGTTCTTAAATTTTCGATTCTGGACATAGGATGCGAGTTTATTACTACTTAGATGTACATTGTATAACTTGGTACCGATATTTAATCACGGAACAAAATTACAATGTTAGCACACTACCGGGTATGCTAATCATTTACGGAATTTGAATAAATTATTTTACAAATTAAGTTCATTGCTTTAAAATCTTGAATTATTTTTTCAACTTTACTAGTATCGAACCTGTAATATAAACTTGTATGCATTGTGCAGCACAGAAGCCACTTATGAAGTTTACACGTGCCGGAGTTAACTATCGATGTTTAATCCATTTCATTGACTATAATTCTATCCTTATGATTCGGAAGATTCTCTTTAAAAGTTTAAAATTGGTATAGTCATGGTAAAAATCTGTGATGGAAAAAAAATGTGTTTGGGAAAATGTGTGTTGAAAACGGATTTATTTGTGTGTGAAAAGGGCAAAGCTTATGTATTTAAATCAATATTGGTTGATGTAAAGTAACCACATATCGCTATAGTCCTTACGCAATGAATCGTCAAAATAAAAAATAAAATTACACATGGAGCTAACGAACATTTAATAGCCATTCTCTGTAACCACTTAAACTTCGTTGCCACGCATGGTCACCGATTATGATGAAACTTCACCCATGCTTTGTACTTGACACCAGAAACAAATATCAAACAAAATTTCGTTGCTAAGTGTCTCTGTTGCCATGGCAACAGTCGGAACAGTTTGAAAAATCGAGATTTTCAGCCACTTTAAATCTTGACTGTGGCTTAATAAAAACTAGAAAAAGCAAACAAACCATTCTCACAAAAACATGACACCTTAATGTCACTTTTACTGTAAAGAAACTATTTAGAATTCACGCTTCCACGCTCCGCCCACCGATGGCAACGAAAATCACGTGACCCGCACCTCCGACAACAAATGTAAACATCATGGCGGGTGATTTACAACTTGTACCGGATGAATTTACTCTTAGTTCATTTAATTTCAATTTTTCACAGAAGAGTCAATCAAAAGGCTTAATTTATTATAAAGAGGGATACATTCATAATATCACTGTTTCCAAAAACACAGGTAGCACTATAATTATTGCTGCGAGATGCTATCGGAGCATGAGGAAGGGAGAGGCACCGCATCGTTTACATATAGATTTAGCGGAGTCTGTAGTTACAGATGCCTATTGTTCATGCACAGCCGGGTAAAAAAACTAGTTCATTTTGAATGCTTTCAGTCGTTATTGTTGGTTAATAAATTTATATTTTAATAATTACTTATTTATTTTTGTTTTCAATGATTGCATTAAACCACTTCAACTGACACTTGCATTGAGTGTTCTATCAGATAGTGGCCTTTGTCATGTTTATTTGCTGGAAGAAATTTATCAATTTTTTTTTTCCATTTCCATGTTAGGCTAACCAGGTGTTTTGTTCACTTTGAGTCTAACTGCGTATTCTCCTTCTTCAGCCAACATGATGATTTAGATATTGGCCTTTGTCATGTTTATTTGCTGGAAGAATTTATCAATTTTTGTTTCCATGTATTCCATTTCCATTCTCATACTGGATCTAATACTTTCATGTTTATACAGTACTGTAAGAGACTACTCATTATCTATGTAATTCATCATGACATAAAAAGACACAGAATTGAGTATTCATATAATTTATAAGTAAACGTAATAATTAATAAAACTACAAGTTCATTTGATGCATGATTATAAGGAGCTACAATAAGTGAATGCAACGCCTTGTAGGGTCTCGGGCAAGTGCTCACACATTGTTGGTTTGGTTAAGTGTATCCAGCAGTTTAAACTGCTGGGACTGAAAGAAGTACCTGCCGAGCAGGCTTGTACAAGCCTTCCCCAACAATGGCACATTCCTAGAGGAAACAAGATTAACCCTGCATCTGTGAATGAAATTATAGTTGTAAAATCAAAAGAAATCCACAAAAAAGTCCCTATATTGCCAAAAGAAATCAAGTCCAGGTACAGAATAAATGTTTAATGTTTTTACTAATTATAAATGAACAAAGTTTCATACAGATTCTATATAATGATGAATAAACATTTTATAAAAACTTATTTGTTTTAAAATTCACTGTACTTTGGGAATACATGCAACTTCATTTAACAAATTTAAGAGAAAAAAATCCATAAAATTTCATATTTGATATCATTGATACACTAACAGAGTCCCAGAGTTAAGTGATAAGTCGTTTCACTTGTTGAAGTCAGTGGAAGGATCACCAATATCACAATTAATTACATCACAAGTCCCAAATATAAGCAGTGAATTTGGTGAGGTAAAGCTTGGATCAGCACTAAGTTATCAGGTGTGTATTAACAATGGGTTTGGGTTTTTGGGGGGAAAAGTTTATAAAATTTCAATCATGAAAGTCAGAGCAAAGGCAAATCAGTACAACAATGGTTCATCAAAAGTTCTTCATTTTAGTGTTTGATCATATTAAGGAAAGCTATGTCTCACATTTTGTAATAATTTTCACAGAATCTCCCTATATACATGTACCAGTAGCTCAGTTAAAATTTACAGTAGAAATCTTGAAAATTATTTATGCAGTTTTGCATACAATCTCACTTGAAAGTGTCAATTTTCATGAACAACACATTCTAAAAATAATTTTTTCATCAAATGTAGACACCTTTCTTTTTCAATTAAGTTTTCTGAGTTCCACAAGTTCATAATCAAGGGTTTTAGTCCTTGGCCATTCACATAAAAAAGAATGAGCTAAGTTTTAGATTCACAACACAGATACCATAATATTTAACATCATTAAGTGCATTTCTAAAATCAAAAAATTATAGGATGTTACTTTACTTATACATGTAAAACAACTAGCAAAATACATGTACATTTACTCTTTACACCACTTGTACATTTTTACTTCTTTTTCAATACTGGATCTTGCCAAAGGGTGAGTAGAGCACACACAGTCCATACTTTGTTGATTGAGCCAAATATGCTGGTTGGAATACAATGTGATACGATCTTAAAAGTTCTTATTTTACGAATAGCTCGTTCTACATGTATGCGATGAGCTGCAATTTTCTGTGTCAAGTCAACATCAGATTGAGGCATCTGTGTTCCACCTACTTACAAATGACGGCAAGTTTAGGTGTAACCCCAAAGATTTCAAATCTGATTCAATGGTGAATCCTTTATCTGCCATGATACAGTCACCTTGCAGAATGTAGCCTGCCTCCAAAAGTTGACGTAGGAGTTTATAAAATCCACTTTTCTGAGTGACAACCACATCTGACATGGACCCTGTAAATAGCTCACTGACAAACACAATATTACCCATTGGATCACAAGCTACCAGTCCTTTTAAAGTTGTTCCCGATTTATAATCAGAATACATTTGTGATTGTAACTTTAAAGATGAAGGTTTCTGTGTTTTCAATTCTGTGCAGTCAACAATGGCAATGGTTCTTGGAAATTCAGATCTGAACTGTGATGGCATATTGCTAATGACATGGTCACGATGAGGCCATATTGGTACTGCACCCAACATCATATACATATGATCAACCCATGCATTAAATACTTCACTGACAGACTGTTTGGAAATACAAAATCGTGCCGCCAAATCCTTTAGGCCAAAGTTATGTCTGAGTCTCATCAGTGTTAACAAGAGTTGCGATGCTGCATTCATCCTCTTGATTTCTTTTCTCTTTTTTGCATATTCTGGTAACTGTTGAGAGGTCAAAAATTCTAACAGAGTGACAAATGTACAGTACTTCAAGTTGGTATAATAAAGAAATAATCCAGGATTTTTTTTCTCTTGTTGAAGAATTTTTTCAACGGTAAATTCAGGCTCTGGATCAGTACAGTGTTGAGATGTTGCGGATAATTGAAGCTGCAGATGATGATTTAAAATTTAAAATTCTCTGCTGATGGAGAGTCTCAACTGTTGATTTAAGGCTATCTTGCAGTTCTTGTACTTGTGCTGCAGCAGTCAGTAAATCTAATGATCCTGTAATAAAAGAGCAGTTAACTTTAGTCACTGTGAAAATTGCAGGTTATGAATTTTTCAAATTCAAAGCCAATATGTCATTTAATTAAACCATGGATAATAAAATTAGCCTGAACTTAGTTTCTCTGTGGCTTGATGCTGTGTATGCATTAGTTTGAAAAAAAAAACCCACAAAACAAACACATATTCACTTTTCATAAATATATAAAATTTCTCAACAAGTCTAATATGTCACATACAAACTTCCATCTTCATTAGTTATCGTTGATATAAACCACAAAATTATAATTTTTGTTTGCTTTAGGCCAAAGAAAAAAATATGCTTTTTTCTTATTACATGCTAATAATAAATAGGGCCAGTTGATATCATTTTTTTTTTATTTTTATGATTTCAATTTTTTTTTCTTTGAGAAATCATATCTTTTAATTGCATTTTTTAAAAGTTTTTTTTTTTTTTTCGTTATCAATTTCAGTCAAAATCTAAAGGATTACGTGTGCATGAGGGGGTTTTGATGTATTGTGGCGATACCATCTTTCCACAGACAGCCTTGGTAAAACTTCCCCCATGGTACAATGAATTGCTTACAGAAGAGCTCATAACCTCTAATCCTGAGGGCATTGAAAAAACAACTAGAAACCAGTATGAAAATCCTGAATGGTTTAAATACAGGGCAAATCGTATCACAGCATCACAGATGCATCGTGTTGTCAAAAGAAAAAAGCTACCAAATGAATTGCTTTTAGGTTCCCTATTTCAAAATAAATCTTTTGCAAGATGTGCAGCTACAGATTATGGCCTAAGTAGGGAAAAGCTTGCACGAGAGAAATTGGTCAAACAAATATCATCGAACAATTCACATCTTCATGATTGTGGACTGATTATCAACAACCAGTTTCCATTCCTTGCAGCCACTCCTGATGGTAAATGCTGTGAAAATGGCGAGTGTGGAATCGTAGAAATTAAATGTCCCTACTTGGCTAGAGAGATCTCTATCTCTGAAGCTTGTGTAAATATTAAAAATTTCATGTTAAAAGAAGAAAATGGCCAGATAACAATGAACAGAACTCATGATCATTATGTACAGGTGCAGGGTCAATTACTTGTGTCCGGTGCACCTTGGTGTGACTTTGTAGTATACACCTCCAAAGACATGTTTGTCGAACGAATTCACCCAGATGCTCCATTCATGACAGACATGCTTTTGAAACTGTCTTACTTTTATAAATACCATGCTGTTCCCTTCTTAAGCAAAAGATCCTAATTTAATGCCTGAAAAAAATCCCCCCCCCCAAGACCCCCACTCCCAACTCCTCAAAACTAAATGTAATGAACAATGATTCAAAATTTGATTTTCAAGTACATGTACACCCTGCACAAGTATTTATTATGTTGCTGATAACGTGTAAATTTCTTTTTCTGTTTATACATGAAAAATCTTCCAAAAAGTCTCAAGTACAACATGAAGTCTTTTTGTATTTGTGAATATCAATTAACAAAAACTTTAGGGGCCCCTTTTGAATTTAGTGTTTGTTTGTTTTTCTCTCTTTTGGGGCTTTTTTTTTTTTTTTTTTTTTAAATCCGAGATCAATATTTTAATCCTGCATTATACAGAGGCATATTACCTGCAAGTAATGATGAATCAATTTCAATTGGATTTAGTTCATCTTCAGTAGCCTGATTTACTGGTAACCCCACAGATGTTGCAGCGGCCTGATTTAAGCCCATGGACGTTTCAGTACACGTTTTCTGTTGTTCATCATGTTCATGGATTTGTCTGAAAGGTTTAATGAATTACCTTATTTCTTTGTATTGCAATACTTGACTGTTTTTAAAATGTTGAAGTTATATATTTATATTAAAATATCATATATATAAAATATATCAATGTATATTAAAATATATTCATATTAAAATATCATTTTTCTGAACATGAACTGCTTATATTCTAAATTTGACAGAGAGAACTGGTACAGGGTTAATCTAAACTAAAGTTTGATTTGAACATTATCTGACAGTTTTGAATTCAGTGAATTGACTTTAAATCATTATAATTACAATACAATATGTCCTACAGACATGAATAACAAATACATTTGTATTGCAGCTTGTAACTGTGCGTGTGACAGACCACAATCACAATAAACACTTTATGTCCTGTCCATATTTGTGGCAGGGCATAACAAGCAAAATATGTCATACATAAATGGTCTAATTTTTTCATATACATGTACCAGTAATGGTGCATCATTTTCTCATCGACAAGTGTGAAAATGAAAATGTGCCACAGATTGACTGTGTTCATTTTTACTTAAAAATAATCCAACCTGCTCCGCTCTCTCCAGTGACGTCTGCTTTTTTTAATAACTGAACCATCGCATGGTACTGGATCTGGATATTCCCCCGTTGGGCCACTAGAATCCATGAAATGCTACAAAATTTATTCTGAATTAGAATACCAAGCATCAGTCATGGTCATACAACTGTAAACATGTACAATCAAGATCAATATAAAGGCATATATGATACGAAATGTTCAGATTGTGGACTAGGAGAAAACGACGAATCAAAATATAACACCGCGTCGTGTAGGACCTCAAGTTGACAGATAGGCCTAGTTAAACTGTCAAAGCGTACTCTCCTTTTATTTTTAATCCATATGGCTACAAGCATGCCTGAATATTCATAATGATTCTTCACTTTTAAATGTAAATGACTAGGAAATGTTATATTAAATAGAATTACTTTTGTGCAGATAAAGGTATGACGATCTATCCTGCTTTCGTTGAGTTGGTAATGAGGTCTCCCGCAGGCCCTTATCCATCGCAAGCACTTGTCTTTCTGAGTTTTGGGCTTTGGAAAGGGAATAAAACGAACCCCTTGTATCCTCTCGGGATACCTGGTATCACTGTTGCACTTTCCATAAGCACAGGTCTTCACCATTCTTTCAAATTGTTTTTAAAATTTACATAGCGTCTATGTCCGACTTGATACTTTTGTCGGAGGTAATGGCGGACAATATTTCCTTGATTCTGATTGGCTGTGCGGAGATGGCAACCGCGTCACTAGTGACGACGTGGAAGCGTGAATATATCTCTGAGTAAGTGGTAACCAAGGGTACATTTGGAATACATCTAAAATGCTGAAATATGCTGAAAAACACTCCGTATTAACTAATGGTAGGTGTTACATGCTCAAAATCAATCAACAACTTAAGAAAAACAATAAAAATGTTTGACCTTAAGTATATGAGTATAAGCAATATTATTCTATAAATAACTTTTATGGTTGCCATGGTAACACAGTGTAACCTTGGAAAACCGGTAACTAAGATTGGGTTAATGCTACTGTCTTGAGGTAAAACATGAAAATTTAAGACTGGCAAATATGCATCCTTAGGACCTTGCAACACCAAAACCATAAGAAAAATTGGGTATAATTGCTACTTTGCAGTGTTACCATGGAAACAAAGTACCAGTGCTTAAAAGTAAATTATTTTTCGCTGCATTAAGAATTAAATTGCCATATAATCAAGAAAAAATTAAAGGACTCAGCTTGAATAGTACTTATCTGTTAGAACTGAAGTTGAATATCAAATATTGATAAAATTTGATGAAGAAAACAACACTGTTGCTATGGTTACCAAGAAGGGAAAATGTTCGATTTTGTTAACTTTATATCAATATTAAACCCTGTGTGCCAACTTCTTGCATCCACTTAGAGATTGGATGATAGTCAAGATTAAAAGTCAGATTAGCTGTTAATAAATATCAATCATAAAAGTTTTGGGAATCTACATTTAAGGGTACGTATCCAAAGAAAGAAAATATTTTTCAAGTTTTTAAGCATATATTTTCTGCTTATTTCCATATGGAAGGGAATTGCCGCCATAATTCTATGCGTCTTGCATTTATTCTTATTATGCTTACTTGCTTTCCATAGCAACGCTCTATTTAAAGAATCTAATCTGATTTTTTTCAAATGGGAAAACTAGTAGCACATCAACATCTTTAAAAATTGATCATTAGTTATGAGGAAATGTGCTTTTTTAAAAGATAGGATCAGATTTAAACATACAGAGTGTTACTTTGAAGGCTCTCTGTGGTATAAAAAACCTTGGCAACCATTGCTAACCAAAATGAAATATCATATTTTGTTCTTGGTATATGTTTCAAGGCTCTTTCTTCTATTATTTGGTCACATTTCATTCTATAATTGCTTTTTATTTTTACGTGTATGACTTTATAAAATTCAATGAATATTTTTTTTTACTTTTGAATACTTTGTTACCATAGTAACGTATGTAATAGTTGATTTACCAAACATGTTTTTCATGCATTTGAGACATTTGACCTTCAACTTTTGGATACAGTCAATGCCAAATGTTTGCTTTGCCGCAAATGTTAACTATGGGGCTCTACACATGTTAAAAAATGCCATTTTTCGAACTTTAAGACATGTTGCCATGGTAACTATAAAACATAGCAACCACTTTTGGCTGATTTAAGTTTAGGGTATCAATGGCTTTTATCATAGAGAGTTTGGAGAAATTCTGAGACTATGCGTGCCACAGCTCCTATATAAAATTTCAAGTCGTTACAGAGAATGGCTCTTAAAAACTGAAGACTGATTAATATGATTAATGTACTGAGTACATGTAAAGTAAATGCCCAAGGGTTTTGTGCTGAAGTCAAACCTAAGACAATTTAAGATTTTTTTAAAGATTCGATTTACTTAAAGAAAATAATATTTTCCCGTAAGTTTGTAAATTAGACACGTCTACCACCCGGCGAAATTGATGTCAACAAGCGATGGAAAGAATGGTTGGTCGCGTAATTGTAAACAAACACAAAACCTAGCAGGCGCGTAGCCAGCATGGAAATGAAGTGTACTCAGAAAACGGTCGGGGGTCTGGGGGCCGCCCTGAGGCCCCCAGTGGGTCCAGGGCAAAGGCCTGGTGGGGGCCCAGGGGGCGAAGCCCCCGGAAGCTCCTGGATTTTAAGAAAATTTTCAGTCATTTTCTCGTAAAAGAAATCACGATTATATCACTTTTCTCGAGCAAACACTTAGCTATAAGTTATACTGCTTCCATTGATACTTCGGGAAGAGAACGATAATTTATCAAATTAATTTACGCACATATAGGTATTAGAAAAAAGTTTCCAAGTGTATCAAGATAAAACAGAGTAGCAATTTCAATATCGTTATCATCAGTTGGAGTTTAGATATTACAAAATATAAACGGGGGTGTTGTTGTCTTTTGATTACCTTCATACATGTATTTGATAGCTGAAACGATTCGAGAATGCTTCAATTATAATATAATTCTTTAAATTGGTAACATCAGTAAAAGAAGCTATATTATTATTTATTTTGTTCGCCATAATTTAAATTGTTTAACGACATTTATTCATTACCTCTACGGACATTAAATATCTTGGATAGTCGTCCAAGACCTTTGTAACTTTTTCTTTCGATCAAAGTCCCTTAGATCGCTTTCCTTATCAAATATTTGTCTCGATAATCATGATTACGCGGATTAACAGTTGAACATTTTGGTTCAACAATTCTTTTCCCTCAAGAATGTTGAAGATGTTTTTGGAATTAATTTTATAAAGGACTAAATTTGAATGTGCAGACATGCTGAAAAAATAATTGAATCGAAACAATAAGACGCAAAATAATTTGAAACATGGGTAGTGCCTCTTTTCCCCGAATAAAATTCTCTTTCTTTTTTTCCTTCTTTTCTTTTATCCCTCTTTCTTTCTTTCTTTTTTGGAAAATGATGTGTACGCACTTGCGTACTTGCGTATAGGCAGCTACGCGCCTGCCTAGATAGCTGTTTTAGTTAAAATATGTATATCACGTTCAAATTTAAAACAAAGTTAAGCCAACATATTAATCTCAAATATTCGACAATAAGAATTTTCCATTAATTGTGTTGTAGAAAGGGTTTAATATATCAATTATTTTGCCTACAACTGCAGGGTCAATGGTTCACCGCGGAGTGTCGCTTTAGATTTCTCGGCCGCGTGTAATCGACGGATAGATTACGTAATGGTAAACACGCTTAGAATCTTTGTTCCAGGTGAATGTGAGAATCGAGCAGTAAATAATGGTGTATTATTTGACTCTTTAAAAAGTTTCTATGAGATCTGGGTGTATATTGTTTTCATTTAAATTGTTTGTGTTCATTTTAAACAAAGAAAAGATACTCGTACTTCTATCACTCTCTCTCTCTCTCTCTCTTGGAAAGATCTTTATTAATAAAAAGAAAAAGTTGCCATCGAATACTCTGTACGGGAACCAAAAAACACGTTTAAAACCTAATCAAAAAAAAAAAAAAAAATTATCAGCGTTGTAAAATATTTATTACTTATGGCATGTTTATTTCAATTATACGCATAAAATGTTCTCCTTCAATAGCAAAATGAGAACGGTGCCATGTTTACGGATCTACCTTTCTTTCATACCATACGTAAGACTCAAACAAAATAATATTTTTATAGGATAGAACTGATATAAAGGAACAATTTATAATCGACAACCATAAAATATTTACCGTTTTTGAGTTATAAAGCAAAAACTTTCAAGGCCCCTAGATCCCTAATTTTAGGGGCCAGCCCCTTTTCAATGATATCAAATGAAAGCTCTTGCAATTATGCACAACTTTTATTCAATATGTTTTAACAAAATATTTTTAATTTTCAAGATAAAAGGTAAAATATGTGTAATTTTTCGCTCTTTTATGCGTTCTAATTTTTGACCCCTATATAGCGCCATTTTGAATAAAGAAATCGAAAAACAAAAAACTGGCATGCACAACTTCAATCCTTTGGTTATCTAAAATCAGTAGAATTTCTGCTCCAGCTTTTGTGGTCTCTGAGCCTTAATCTGGAAATGAAAGCCTATAAATTTTCATTTAAAGGGAAATAACTCAAAAGCGGGAGTACATTTTTGAAATATTAGACGGCATTCTGATAGAGTGTATCGATGTGTATAATGTCTGAAAATTTGAGCAAAATCCGTTGAGAAATGAGTGAAATATGAGGCCTCAAAGTTGGCGTCTAGGAAAAGAAAAAAAAAGAATAATAAGAACTAGAGCAAAGCTCGTTGCAAAGCAACGAGTAGGTCTTCCGTCCTGTTTTGACCGAGAGTAACGTCTACAAAAGAGAACAATGGGCTAAGTCGTCTCCAGTCACTTTATTATTTCAATTTTCCATAAAAACCTTAAAAAAAAGCTATTTTTGGCTACTTCCGGTTTGACCGGAAGTGATGTCGATGGACGGAAAATTAAGTTTTATGCTCCCAGTGACATATGTTACCCAAAACTTGTCAAGAACGGCAAAAATATGCATTTTCTGACTACTTCCAGTTTGACCGGAAGTGACGCCGCCGGACGCATTTTGAGGACTTCAATAGATTAAGCTTGACATTTCAAACAACTTTGCTTCTTGGACGTATAAAAAATTCTCAATACTTTTTGAGATATCTGGCAAAAACTTTTGGCCCCTCTAGATCCCTTAATTTAGGGATCAACCCTTTTTTCGAGATATCATTTGAAAGGTCTTGTTATTCTGCACAAATTTTGTTCTATATTTTTTAACAAAATATTTTTAGTTTAGAAGATAAAAAGCAAAATATGTGTAAATTTTCGCTCTTTTAGGCGTTCTAATTTTTGACCCCTAAATACCACCATTTTGAATAAAGAAATCGAAAAACAAAAACCGCTGTGCACAACTTCAATCCTTCTATTGTGTAAAATCAGTAAAATTTCTGCTCCAGCTTTTGCCATCTCCGAGCCTTTGTCTGGAAATGAAAGCCTATAAATTTTCGTTTAAAGGGAAATAACTCAAAACCGGAAGTGAATTTTTTGAATGCTAGACAAAATTCTGATAGAGTTTATTAACGTCTATAAACTCTGAAAATTTGAGCAAAATCCATTGAGAAATGAGTAAAATATGAGGCCTCAAAGTTGGCGTCTAGGAAAAGGGAAAAAAAAAGAATAATAAGAATAATCTTAATCATCAGAAT